ATGGAATATTATGCTTCCATAAAAAGGATGAGATCATGCCATTTGAGACAACACGGATGGATCTAGAGGGTATCATGCTAAGTGAAATAAGGCAGACTGAGAAAGGAAAAAACCCATATGATTTCACTCAGTAGTGAAACCTAAAAACAAACGAATAAACAAACAAAAAGCGGAATCAGACCTATAAACACAGAGAACAAGCTGATGATTGGCAGAAGGAAGGGGGTGGGGGGTTGGCGAGGTGGGGGAAGGGGAGTGAGAGATCCAGGCTTCCACTTAGGGAACGGATAAGTCAGGGGAAAGCATAGGGAATACAGTAAGTGATACCGTAATGGTGGTGTATGGCAACAGATGGTGGCTGCACTTGCAGTGAACACAGCGTAATGTATAGACTTGTCACATCACTGTGTTGTACACCTGAAACTGGTCTAACATGATGTGCCAACTATACTAAAAAAAAAAAAAGTGACTCATCAGCCATAAAGTGATTCATCAGGCACCTCTGATTTCTATGATGCTAAGACCACAGTCAGCCGGAAGATAAAATTTCTGCCTCTAATGTCTTAGGGTCTTAGGAATGAAAGCCACATGTTACAGAGGAGAGGACACTCAAAACAGGGGGCCTTCGAACGGTTCCTGCCACAGGATGCAGGCACAGGCGTTGTGGTGGGCTCCTGGGTAACAAAAGGTTTAAAAACAAAAGCAGGCACGTAAGGTCATGAATTGGCCCCAGATAACTTGGGACACTGAGCACACAGGCGCAAGCAGCACATCTTGATGGAAAAGAGGGCAAGTCTGCCCTCACCTGGCACCCCACCTCCTGCTTCAGGAGAGCCTCAGCTCGAAGAGGAATTCATCAGCATTAGCAGGTTTTGGGTTTCCGCTCATCGTTAGTGTATTGCTTTCATTCCTAAGACCCACAAAAATTGGAAACCACTCCAACTTACCAGGAGCACACTTTGGAATGCAGATCTGGAAGCTATTTTTTTCTGCAGACACTCATGACTCTGGTTTTCACAACAGCAGGCATGGGAGGCTCTGCCAAGCTGCTAGAGAAGGGCAACTTATCTGCAAAGTCACGAATCCAAGTATCCAAATAAGCTACCATTGGCAAGGGTGGAAGGAAGTTGTTTGTCTTAGCTTCTTGGGGGGTTGGAAGATTGGGAAGCTTTGGGGGCTGCAGGTACCTTGTTGTACCTTGATACCAACCCAGGGGACAGGCAGCTTCTCAGAACTACCAGTGGAGGCCGTGTCTTAGTAAAGGCCATTTTGGTTGCAAACAACAGAAAGTCAAACCAGTGGAAGAGAAAAAGGGGCATGTATGGGGAAGAAAAGCCAGCTCCTGACTATCCTGGCTCTTCAACTTTGCTTGTCCTTTGATTCTTTAAGCTTTCTCATTTCCTTTCAATAAACTCCCTTTCTGCTGAAGTGAGACACAGGAGCTTTCTGTTGCAACCGAAGAATCTTGGGTGATACAAAGGGTCCTAGTGGAACCCAAGGGCGGGCACTGAAACTGGCCTTCCCAAAGAAAGAAACTAGGAACCAGAAAGTCTTCAGGAATCAAGGTAACTAATCTGTGTCACTTGGAATGCCTTCTGCTTCAAATAACAGAAAACTGACCGTGGGTAGTTTGTAAAAATTTGGAGTCCTTCCCAAAATGACTCTGGCCACGTGATTTGCTTTGTTTGATGGGATATTAACAAACACAAGCAGAAAGATTTGGTAAGTATTTGTGCTTTGGGGCTTGTTCTTTCCTGCCGCTCTTGGGAACCTGGGCCCACCACCCTGTGAAAGAGCTTGGTCTAACCTGCTCCATGATGAGAAACCCTGCCTTGCAGAGACAACTGTCCCAGCTGAGGCCTCTCTAGACCAGGTTTTCTCATTCTTGGTACTACTGACATTTTGGATCACATACGTTTTTGTTGTGGGGAGCCTGTTCTGTGCACTCTAGTATCCTTGGCCTCTACCCACTAGATGATTGTAGCACCCCACCCCCCAAGTTGTGACAGCCAAAACTGTGGCCAGACATTGCCGTGTGTCTCCTGGGAGGCAAAATTGTCCCTGGTGGAGAACCACCGCCTTGACCCAACTTGCCTACCAATGACTGGGCATGTAAATGAGGCCACCTTAAACCATCCAGACCCAGTCAAACCAGCCCAGACCAGTACAAGTGCCATGGAATCATGGCTTGACCCATGGAATCATGAGAAATAATAAATATTTGTCATTTCCCATCACTGAGTTTTGAATGCTTTGTTCTATAGCACAAACAGGTGCACTTGGCTGCGGTGGCTTAAACAGGGATTTTTACACAGTAAGAGGTGCAGAGGGAGGCATTTCAGGCATGGTACAGAGCTCAGGGATGCTGCCAGGCACCCGCCAGGCTTCGGAGCTGGGCTTCAGCCTCTTGCTTGGTGCCTGGTGATCCCCAAGATGATTGCTCCAGCTCCAAGCCTGAGCTCCAGGCACGAAAAAGGAGACTAGGCAAAGGGACAAAGGGCAAAATACTTTCTCCTAGTGAAGACTTGCCTTCTTCTTCTTCCTCTTCATCTTCTTTTTTTTAAGATTTTACTTATTCATTTATTTGAGAGAGAGAGAGAGAGAGATTGAGAGTGTGAGTTGGGAGGAAGAGCAGGGGGAAGGAGGGGGAGGGGGAAAGAATCCCAAGCAGACTCTGTGCTGAGCACCGTCCTGATCTCAGAACTCTGAGATCATGACCTGAGCTGAAACCAAGAGTGGAACACCTAATGCACTGAGCCACCCAGACGCCCCAAGACTTGCTTTCTATTACAGAAGGTAAGCTCTCCCCGGGGCCTTCGCTTACATGTCATTGGCCGCAACTGAATAACATGGCCACAGCTCTAGCTGCAGGGGAGGCGGGGCAATCAAGGCGTTTGGGCGCCAGCCCATACAGTAGAGGAAGGTGATGACTAAGGGGCTTGCAGTATCTGCCGCACTGTCTCTCTGGGAGTCCTGGTCTTTCTTGTTGAGTATCTACCCCACCCTTCTCTTTCTGAAGACTGGCTTTTGTTTGTCCAAGCACACATGGGGAAATGGCCACCCCAGCCCTGGAACCGCATCAGGACTCTCATCAATGACCTGGGTGGCATCCCAGGTGGCCAGCTTTCAAATGCCTAGGGCAAAGACGCTGATTAGCTCAGGTTGAGTTAGAAGAGGAAGCTGATTGGTCTGGTTTGGGTGTATGTACAACTCAGCCAATCAGGTTTGGCCAAGAGAGCAGCATGACGTAGGGCAAACCTGATTGGTGAAGGTGGTGGTGGTGCATTCTCAGGGAAAAGGGGGCGTGGCTGAGGAGACACTGTCAAAATGATATACCTAGCTCGAGGAGCGGAGAGAAGAAATTGCCATCATGGGTTATAAGGTTGATAGGATAAAAATTGACACGTCCTTGGAAGATGTAAAATACAGTGGAGTCACACGGGCATTGTATTTGACTTTTGCAATTGCAAATATATATGTTCGATCAACAAAAAACATCTTTTTGCACACGATTTGGCTTCTAAACACGAGCCAGCTACCTGAACGGCTGCCTAACTAAGTGATCTTTTCTGGTGCTGGAGAAAAACTTGCTGTTTTGGACCTTGGGGATATGGTGCAGTATTGGTAATACCATGATGTTCTTTATGGACATTTTCCAGGGTTTTCAAGAGTATTTTTAAGGTCAGGTAATGCTCACTTTTCTCACTGACTTTAGATCCTAGCCCTGTGTAAAATGTACCTTCAATGGAATATCACACCAAGAATTTTTCCTATTTCCTTCTAGTTTTAAAGATTTTTTTTTCTTTTAAATTTATTTATTTGACAGAGAGAGACACAGTGAGAGAGAGAACACAAGCAGGGGGAGTGGGAGAGGGAGAAACAGATTCCCCGCTGAGCAGGGAGCCCAATGTGGGGCCCTGGTGATCCCCAGGACCCTGGGATCATGACCTGAGCCGAAGGCAGACCCTTAACGACTGAGCCACCCAGGCGCCCCTCCTTCTAGTTTTAATCAGTATAAAGAATCCATTTGGTTTTAAGATAGCAAAATATTTTTATTGTGGCTTTTTAAAAATAAAAAAGAAACGATATTCATGGACTTCTGGCTCTTCCTCCCATTTTGTTTGGCGGTCCTGGCCACACCAGAAAGGCAAGGGGACAGATGGACGGGGAGAGGGCAGGACACGGGAGCAAGAAGAATGAGGGTCTCTAGAAACCCGGTGATAAAGGGGTGTGTCCACCTGGGCAGCGTGTGCTCTTCTGGGGCCGGGTACTAGGGTCTGTCCTGCTCAGGAGGCTGGCGCCTGAACCCCTCATGCAGCCGAATGGTCAGGATGGGATGGGAGTCAGAAAGTGGGTTCCGGACCCAACTTTTGAATTTAGTGATTCATGATTTTAGACGGGCAATTTAACCTCTCTGGACCTTATCTTCTTCATCTGTAAAATAGGGATCAGAATACTATTTACTTCCTAGGGTTTGGGGGAGGATTAGGTGAGAAGCATTTTGAAAATTGCAGAGTGCCACATAAATGTCAGTCATTATGATGGAAGCGATAAGATGACTAGGCATGCTAAATTTATTATAATGAACTTAGATATAAATGTGCTCTACCATGGCCTCAGCCTTGGCCCCGAGGTTGCCATTCTGTCCTGTGGCCCCAGTACACGTCTTGGGTTTTGCCAGTGGTTTCTTGCAGTTCCACGGAGGTGGATGTGTGGGTACGTCACAACTCAGATGTGGCGCCACATAATTGTATCTACCAAGCCTAGGAGCCTGGGCTTGAAACCTACATTCTCCGTATGTGTACATCTGTAAGTAATTCTAAAAAGAACGTCTATCCCTGCATGCTCCATAATACAGCATTGTGCAAACACCAGTCTAGGCAGCAACATACTAGGGTAACAACCTTTAAAGTCCTATAAAAGTGTCTTAGTATTTTGACACAGAAGAGTCACCCACGTGACTCACGGAGGATCACCCAAGGCCCGATGGGATGACATTTCTAGTTCCTGTCACCAGGCTTAGAAAACAGAAGGCTCTGGCTGGATTGGCTGGACGTGTCTTTCTTCAGCGTCTCCCTTTCTTGGTCCATCTTTGGGGCGGCTTTTCTGGATCCAACCTTCAATGAGCAAGAAAAAACAAACGCACAAACTCTATAATTGTGGCAAGATCCCAAAATGTTCCACTCAAATGATTTTTTTTTTACTCAAAATAAAATGTTTGCTGTAAAAAAAATTATATATTTATAATTATAGAGAGAGAGAAGGGAGGGAGAGAGAGAGAGGGGGGTATGTGTATTTTAGCTTTAGAAGCTAAAATGATCCACAATTATCCCACTACCCAAAGGTAAGCATTATGACTGTTGTGGTGTACATGCTTCCAGATACACAAATAACAGTTTCCCTTTTTACATTTTTGTGCTTTTGAAACTCGGAGCTTCTTATGCTGGGCATATTCATTGTGATGGAGTTTCTTTCTCCTCGAAAGCTCTTACCGAGCCGTGTGTGTCTTCCGTCTAGGGTCTAGGCCTTTTCTGAGCACTGCCCCTCCTCCTCCCAGCCGCCCCGAGTGTGACGCTATCCCTGGTCACAGTTGATTGGATACTTGGCACGGGCTATGCTTTGCATATGATTGCGCCCAGGATTTGGGGTTATGGGCTCTGAGATGCTACTCGCTCCCTGGGCCTGTCCTTTAAACGGCGGGGTGGTGAGGTCATCTCTTGCAGTGGAATAACTGGAGAGAGAAGAGATGAGCCGGTACGGGGAGACCCAGAGAAGGAATACGGTATATGAGCGTGTGTGTGTGTGTGTGTGTGTGTGTCAGGGAGCTGATGCCCGGGACCTGGGGCTTACCAGTTCTCTTTAGAGGCAGGAGCCTCTTTCAGCCCTTTGTTCTCATGACACATGGATTCCTGTACCCCCTATAAACACACCCCTCCCTGTTTCTGAGCAGGTTTCCCTTAGTTGCAACCCAAGCCATCTCCCTCTCACACTCTTCTGCACATACATGGGATCATAATTTGCATGTTTCTTTCCAACAGGCTCCAAATCCAGCCCTACTTCCTGCAAGTGTTTGACTCCAGTCACAAGGTCGCATACTCCTAGGGGTGGGGTGGGGGGGTTGGAGAGGGCTGGTGGGTTGTCAGGTTTGAGCTTGGCCACTTACTGCATGACTCTCGGTTTCCTCACCTGTCAAATGGGACCAGAATATCCATCCTGACCTCCTCAGGGGCCAGGAGAAGATTCTGGGTGGATTTTATTTTATTTTATTTTAGATTTTATTTATTTGTCAGAATGAGAGAGAGAGGGAATACAAGCAGGGGGAGCGGCAGGCAGAGGGAGAAGCAGGCTCCCTACTGACCAAGGAGCCCGATGCGGGACTTGATTCCAGGACCCTGGGATCATGACCTGAACCCAAGGCAGATGCTTAATGAGCCACCCAGGCATCCGTCCGGGTGGATTTTAAAGGAAGGGACTGCTAGGACCATCTCTTGAGCTCTTTTCACTTAGGAGGTCTGTGCCAGTGGCTGACAGGGGGTCTTGAAGGTGATTTGAGACTGCATCCAAAATCATTTCAGGGTGAGAAGGGCTAGCTTCTCTATACGAGCCTACCAAGTAAATCTGGGTCGGAATGCCAAGTGAAAATGAAAACAGACAGCAAATGTCAAAAAAGCCTCCCCCAAACCACCTTTCCTTTATATCCCTCTTTATTTGACTTTCCATAAAATTGCTGGCTGTGGGTGGTTCCCAAATTCCAGTGCCCTGACCTATTGTGAAGTCGGCCATCAGGGTCGGAGCCAGGGAGTTGGTTAAAAATGAGGAGTGCCTGGTCCCGGCATCTCTATATAATTATAGAGAGAGAGGAGGAGGGAGGGAGAGAGAGGCCGACCCCTAGGTCGGCCAGGAGCTTGGGGTAGGAAGCGCCTCAGAGCAAGCAAGCTTTGCTCCACTTTTGGAGTGACAAGGTTGGGGAAAGCAGAAGGCAAAGCAGAAGGCAGAGGGATGACCCGGGAAGAGAAGGACACTGGGGCAGGTTGGGGGAAGGGCTGGGAAGTCTTGCAGCACCCTTCCTGAACAGGGACCACAGGTGAGCACCATGCCTTAGGCTTCTGTGTCTGGGAACCACACGCCTCACCCTTGAAATGAAAGGTCGGGGATAGGGGCGCCTGGGTGGCTCAGTTGGTTAAGCATCTGCCTTTGGCTCAGGTCATGATCCCAGGGTCCTGGGACCCAGTCCTGCATCGGGTTCCCTGCTCAGGAGGGAGTCTGCTTCTCCCTCTCCCTCTGCCCCTCCCCCCCCACTTGTGCTCTCTCTCTCTCTCTCTCTCTCTCGTTCACTTTCTCTCTCTCAAATAAATAAAAACTTAAGAAACAAAAAGAAAGGTCAGGGATAGAAGCTGGGCCATTAAATGGCGACACCCAGGGGGAAATGAACTCAGGACACACTGGAGTGGCTGCTTGAGGGGACTGCAAGCTCCAGAAAGTCCCCTTCCATTCCCACCCAGTCTCAGGGCTGTTTACGTCACTCCTCCTGGGGAGGCCTCTCCCGGCCCTCGGACTGAGTGAGTCCTTGTGAAATCTGCTCCTGAACTCAGGCAACTGACCTTTGTTCCCAAAGCATAGTGTGCAAGGTAATTATTGAATCATCACTGTGTTTATTGAAAAAAAAAAATGTCCAAGAATGGAAGCTAGAAAGGCAGGGGATTTTGTGTGTCTCTCCTTTGATTTAAGCCTGCGTTGCTCCCCCTTGTTCTCGTTATTGTCCTGCACTAAGGAGCCTCCTCAGACTCCCATTTCTTAGTTGCTCCCGCCCCCATGAAATTTTAATATGACAGATATGTGTGTGCTTTATACATCACAAAAATAATTTTCGCCCTCTCAGGGCTGGTCCCGCCCCCACTGAGAATTCCTGATTGAACGCCGACGCCTGGACAGTACCTGCAATGTTGTAGGTTCTCAGTAACTATTCCTGGAATGAATGAGGGCTGCTAGGACAACACCTTTTTGTCCACCCCTCCACCCCCCTGCTGAGGGTGGCCTGTGGCCTAGACGAGGTCATCAATAAATACTTGTTAACTAGAAGATGTTCCTCCTTAGCATACAACTCCCAAACAACTATAAATGCCTTTTAGCTGCAATAGAAATCAATATACAATCACGGAATGGCATTAGGAAGGACAGAAAACAAAAACCCAGAGGCCCTCCAAGAGGGAGGAGGCACCATTTCTGAGGCTTGCTAGGGATGGAGACTCTTTAGGAGAGGGCAAGAAGGAAAAGCAGATTTTACATGTCCTGTTTTTTTTCACAGTGCTCACGGCGACTCCTTCCCTCTAAGGACTCAAGGCACGCTGTAGAGAAAGGGGACGCCCAAGCCGCACTTCCTAAGGACCATGAAGACCTTTCTGTACCGAGGAGATCCTAGACACCAAACCTCTAAGCTTGGGCTCGGGGTTTGGGAGAATGGCAAGCTCACGCTTTGCTCTTAGCCAGAGCACCATCTGCCACATTCTGTGATGCCCAGGGGCGGCCTGAAATTCCGGGGAGCTCCACAGCTCAGGGAAGCACAAGGTGCCTACAACACCTAGGGCCCGTCCTGGCATCTCCTCTGTTATCTCACATTCCCAGGTGGTCCTCAGACAAGCCCTCCCTGCAGGCGGCTCCTGCCTGCTCCTGGCTCAACCCTATATATGGGTGAATAAGTGACAAACCTCCCACTTATTCCCACTTGGCAGGCTGGCAAAGGTGTCAGAGGACACTCTTTCCTCTTCACATCCTGCTCTGGGTAGTAACCACCTTCCAGAATTAGAAAAAGGGTGTGGGTTGAGAAGAGGCTTCTGTTTTCCCAACATGTCCCTTACCTAGAATATCTTCGTTTTTTTTTAATGATAATTTTGTTGCCTCGGAATTATTGTGGCCTTTTATCAAACTCGAATATGGCTCCTGTTTCCCATTTCACTGCAACGTGTTTAGCTTTCAAGCTTCCTGAGAGCTCACCTCTACTTTCTGCAAAGTGGGAATGTGGTTGGGTCAATTCCAGTTCTAGGGCTGAATTGTGAATGGCAGTGTTTCAAAATGTTTAAAATTTCGGAGTCTTGATTCCCGACTCTTAAAAAAGAGTGTTCTAGGGGATGCTTCCTTGTAATTCAAGAGAAAACGCATCCGAAATGTATCAGGTTTAGTATCTGGAGGTTGATTACCTAAAGGAGGGGAGAGGCAGGGCTCACCTGGGTGGGTGTCCAGATCTGCAACGGGTTCCAGCTCCCTTATTTAGCTGTACGGCTCTAGACAAATAACGTAAAGTCTCTGAACTTCAGACACCTCCTCTGCTAATGGAGGATTAAAACAATATGTACCCCTAGTGTTGTTGTGAAGACTGAATTGAGATATAATGCCTGTCGAGTGCATAGCTCTGTGCCTGGCACGTACTAAATGCTCAGTACATAACAGAGGGGGTATTATTGTCAACCTGGGTTTCCTGCTGACGTCCTACTGTTTTCTTTCTCCTTCTAGCTCACCTGGGGACTTGAATTCTGCATCTTGTTCTTCACCATCTCTACAAACATTCGCCTCTTGAATACAGAAGGAATATTGACATTTAGCTTTTGTTCTTCTTTCCCTTTTGCATCAGAGAAAAGTGTTTTTTTTTTTCTCCCTCCACTTTCAGATGTTACCCATTTGGATGAAATGTTGGGCTTTCCTAGGGATGGGGGGGGCGCGCGGTGAGGATGTACTTCTGCAGAAGGGGGCCCGGTTTTCAGGTGCTGCTCTACTGTCCTGCTGAGCTCCTTAGGGATCTCTGCTCCAGATTCCAGAGGAATCTGAGAGGAGGAGCCTTGTCAAGCAAGGGTCCCTGGAGGATTATTGCAGTCCTCTTGGGGGACAAATCAGCTTTGGGTGGAAGCAGAGCCTCCCAGATCAATGGAAGAAGATGAAGACGCGGGTTTCTACCCAGCATCCCAACGCCCGGGGAATGATGAAGCCACACTGGCTGACTTCCCTGTCAGGGACGGCGGGCACCCGCTTGGGAGCCAGCATCATGGCAAATCTGGAGCTTGCCCTTCCCCTGGGGGTTGATGACTGTTGCTGATCCTGGTCTCCTCAAGACCCTGCACCTCGGGACAGTTCGCTGAAAAAAGAGCATGTCCTGGGCATGCTGGGCACATGACAGTGAGAGTGGGCTAGGCCTCCCTCACAGACTGACACTCCAGCAGGTGATGGTGCAGGGATGTCAGGAAGAGGGTGTCTCTCAGAGAGTCCCGAGCCTCTGCGGGAGGCGCTAGCCAGCCGCCTACAGGGGCTGGGGAAGTAAAAGCAGTGGGTGGAGTGAGCTGGGTGGGGACGGCGGCAAACCCACAAGCCCAGTGCTTTTCTAAGGGGCCTAGAAGATGGTGGTTGTGGGACTATGGGCCTAGAAGCCCCAGATCTTCCAAGTTGCACAGAGAAGCTGGACATCCAGAGTATTTTGTGAAAGTGCCCTACTTGGAAATGTTACTTAAAAAAAGACACCCCCCCCAAAAAAAAGAAAACCCGTGAGCCAAATGAAATGCTGGGTTGCCATTTTGTGACATGTTCTTCAGAGCCTACCCTCTTGGCTTCCAGTTGGTGCTCAGTAAAGAGTTGTTGGTGGGGTTGCCAGATGAAATACAGGATGCCCTGTGAAATTTGACTTCCAGAGTGGAAAGAAATAAATTTTTTTTAGTCTGTCTCATGAAATATTTGGGACATACTTATACTGAATAACTATTTGTTGTTTATCTGAAATTCAAATTTAACTGGGCAGCCTGTTTTGTTTTGCTTGTCCTTAGCTCTGGCAACTCTATTGGGTATTCACAAAAGTCATGGAGGGACTTTTGGAAAATCGTGATTTAAATAAGATAGTGATGATATCGATGATGTATGGGCGCTTGTATTGAGTAGTTCTGGGTGCGAAAGAGCTTGTACCCGGGCTCTGCTTGAAGCGAACGCGCTGAGGTAGGAGCCACCTTGACTCTCACCTTCCAGACGAGGGATCTGAGCTAATTAAACGCTGGGACGGTCCAGCCCCGCCCCACGCCGACACCACCTGGCAACGTTGTGGCCACGCCCCTGGGCCAGGCTTTGATTGGCTGGAGGTTTGATTGGCAGGAGAACTGAGGGGCTTTCCCCAGCCAGACTCGAGCCTTTCTCACGCTTGAACCCCTAAGAAAGGGCCAGGTTGGGGAGTGCGTGCTTCCAAATGGCAGCTTCTGTGCACTTAAAAATTCCCTAGTGAAAATAACAGCTTTAACCCATTCACAAAAGTATCTGAGCTCTTGTTGGCCGTAGCCCGAGCTGTATTCCCCAACTATAAAGGAGAGCTTCGCAAAAAAGCCGCGGGCTCCAGGCGGTCCGAGAAAGCGTCTTGGGGTTGGCCGCCGGTGTCAGCCGGCAGGGAGCTCTCTGGAAGAAACGCAGGCCTCGCCCCACCCGTCCAAAAGTTGTCCTTTCTCTCTCCCAGAGTAACCACGCCTGCCAGGCACCGGGCTCTGTCGGCATTATGTCATTTAACCCTCTCGGGTCCCCCCGTTGTTACCATTTTTGGTGGTTGTTGTCCAGGACTCTGAGATACAAGGCATGAGCCACTTTACTCGGGGTCACTCGGGGCCAGAGGTGGGGCTTAAACCCTCTTTGTTTGACTCCAGAGGCCGCCTGTGAACTCTGAGAGACACAGCTGCCTTATCTAGGGATGGGGGCACTGGATGAGACTGAGCACAGCCTGGGCCACGGTCATTGTCCCTCTGTCGGATGGAGGGAGCGCCAGCGCCCCCTCCCCCACCCCGCATTCCTAAGTTCACAGCTGATAACCGCAAGGTTCTCTGTGAACGCCCAGCACTGAACTTTTCCCGGCATTTTGTATCCAGTCTCATTGTCACAGCCAAAGGTATGAGTGTGGAAGTATGAATCCAGGAAGTTCTGCCTGGTGAAGAGATGTTCAAACATTCAAACTAAAACATCTTTTTTTTTTTTTTTTTTGAGGAGGGTACTGGTTGGGAAGCTCAAGGGGAGTAATTTCATTAACTAGTGGTTCAACCACTTCTTCTCTATGAATGGGTGAACTTTGATACATGAGACTGGAAACATTAAGGCTAGAAAGGGAGGTGCAGAGAGCAACAGGTGTGGAGAAGTGGACTGGAGTCGGGGAGGGCAGCAGGCCTGGGGTGGGGTGGGGTAGTCCCGTTTCTGCTGCTGCGCAGCCGGGTGCCGCTGCCCTCTGTCAGCCTCTCTGAATGGGCGGCCGGGTGCCAGCATTCCTTGCAGGGTTGATGGGAGAGATGAAGCACGTGCAGTGTGGAGCAGGTGCCTGCCACTCGGGAGGGGCTCAGTAAAGTCAGCACTACTATGATTGTGGCTGTGGTTTTTCCTAATCTTTCCCTAAATTGTGAATTCCCGGAATTTGAACATTCCCAGGTCCCACTCTTCTGGGGACACAGACGCAGGGTCAACTTGGCCATTTTAGATCCTCCTGCACAGAAGGATGTCTAGTGCCCAACAGGCTGGCACAGCCCTTGCATTGTGTATGAATGAGGCAGCTCATGAATAATGCATGTAGAGCCTGATTATGTAAATCCTCAGGTTTTCTTACATTTTTAGCCAGCACATGACAATGGCCTTTTGGGGGCCCTTTGCTGTCCCATTCTGTGGTCTGGTGTTTCTGTTTTGGGGGCTAGCCTGCCAAGTCCTAGGGCGGGGTGGGGGGGGCACCTGAAGGAGGGGTGAGCTCTCCAGAGGGCACATCAAAGGAAAAGTCAGAGCTCTGTCACTGGCCCAGCTTTCCCTGACTTTGCTGGTATGAAAGGAAATGGTCCTTTGCCTGAAGCCTGTGATGTTTAATTCAGAGCCATGGATGCTAGAAACCCCGCATCTGGGGCTCCCTCAGAGCAGGGTGGCTGCTTTCATTTCTAGGGCTACAAGCGGCGGAGCCTGTTGTCTGGAAGGTTTGCAGGATGGAGGAGGGCAGGTTCCTGCAAGAACTTATCTGACCAGTGCCTCCTAGTTGGGGAAGAGGGCACCCTTCTATAGCCTTCTATGGCTTGACCTCCTTAGAGCTTATGCAGGCAACACGTACACAAACACACACACACACACACAAACATACATACAAATATACACACAGAAACACACAGCGCACACGCGCATGCACTTCTATATACTTGTACGCATACAAGCATGCGTGCACAAACACACAGCCTGAGTCAGGAACACTAACATTTACAAGGAGAAGTATGGGGCGAGGCCAGCACAGAACACAGGAACTAGGGTCAGTGGTCCCGGGGCCAGGTCTAGGTTCTGTTTACCAGCTAAGGTGTGAACTTGGGCAAGTCTCTTAACTTTCTGAGGCTCAGTTTCCTCATCTGTAAAAGGGGGGTCATCATAGCTACCAGGCTGGGCTACCAAGGGATTAGTAACCCCAATCAGTGCTGCAAAGCCCAGGGGGAGCCCCATGCCTATAGATGGTCATGAGATGGCCGTTATGGTAATTTTCCTTGTTTGCCTGATCTTAGTCTTGGGACCCGCTCTACCCCCGGCAAGAGTTAAGAATGAAGGAGAGTCTGGTTTGGAAATGAGTGCGGGAGTGAGGGGTTATGGGTGTAAACTGCGGAGAAGACAGGACAGCCCCTCTGCCGACCACGGGACAGGCCCGGGTCTGCTGGGGAGCTTCCGGAGCGCTCGTCTCGGTGCTGGTCACGCGTGCCCGGCTGTCAGCCGCACCTCTGCTGCGTCTGAGGCAGAGCTTGCCTGAGCCACCACATGTGCAGGCTTCTGGCCACATGGAGGAGAGCGGCGTCCACCCGCCGAGTGCCAGGCCCTGGGCTAATGCTTTAGAGTGTCCCTCTAGGTGTCCCTCACCTCCCAAAACCACATGGCCCGTGAGTTCACGCTGCAAGAGCTTGGACAGGGAGAGTACCTGCCTCATGTGCTGTCTTCCCAACAACCCTGCAGGGCACCCGCGGTCAGCTCCTATTTACCGGTGAGGAAGCAAGCCTCAGAGAGGGGACCGGACTTGCATGAGGCCACAGGGTTAGTAAGTGGAAGGGGGCGGAATTTGAACCCGGGACTGACTCCTGTGCTGTGTGACAGAGGAGATAACAAGGTGAGAGGAGGAGGGGGCTTGTGGCTGGATCACCAGCCCGTCTCCAGTCTTGGTTTCTCAAGGCAATGCTACTACCAAGTTCATGCTGGGAGGCAGGTCTCTCCTCCTCCTGCCTTTCCTCTGGGGTTCCCAGAGCCTGGGGTGCACACCCACCCATGCCTCTGCTGGACACACTCAGATTCTCCTTTGCAACTCAGCGTAGATGTCATCACTTGGAAAGCACTCCCCAAATGCTCTGGGCTGGCTGGGTGCCTGCCTCTGGGTGACGCAGCCTGAGGATCTTCAAGGACATCCATCCATCTGAAGATCCTTAAAGGACGTCCTTTAGTGCACAACAGACGGGTAAAGAGCTGACTCCAGGCTGATTTAAGGATTTAAAGTCTCTGTCTAACGGGTGCTCAGGCTGCGTCATCCAGAGGCAGGGATCATCCATCCATCCATCCAACCAACCATCCGCTTGAAAATCTATCCATCCACACATCCATTCATCCATCCATCCATCAAATACACTCAGACTAGTGAACCCAAATCTTTATTCACAGATTGCTTGTTCATCTATGTATCCCTACCACCTAGAAGAACAATACAAATGCAAACAATAGCTACAATTACAAAGATACACAGGAGCTAGACAGTGAGTTTCAGAGAGGTTAAGGAATCCACCTGGGATGACAGAGTAGGTGGTAGAGCCAGGGTCTGAAGCTAAGTGTGTCTGATGCTAAAGCTATTCTGCCGCCTCCCTTTGCATCAGTAAATGTGTTCTGTGCTGCCCGGACCCCCGAGCCCTCACTTTGCTGTTTCTAAAGGGGACCAAGGGGCTGCAGCCTCTGAGGTTCTGCCCCAAGCAAGACCCCTCACCTTCTGCTGCCGGATGGCCCTGTTGATTCTCTTCTCCTGGCGCAGCTGGTGCTCTGTGCGCCCCAGAGCCTCCTTCAGCAGAGCCTTCTCTTCTGCCTCTTTGTAGATGTTGTCTTCCAGCTTTGCCACCTGCGACTGGTACATCTGCACGGACACTTTGCTCTGCCTGAGTGCACGGGAGAGACACAGGCCTTTTCCCCTTCTCTTTCTCATCCATGTCCCCAACCTGGGAGAGTCTCAGAATACTTCCGTCGGCGGCTAACTTAGTGGCAAGCAGATTTAGGGCATAGAGGACAGAATAAATAGCTCATCGGGTGCCGAAGTGTAGTAGGAGGATATGCTGCCAGACCCACCCCCCCATTTCCCAGGGAGGGTGTAGGGGAACAGAGGCCACTAGAATAGGGTGAGCTATGGAAAGTACATATGCTGGGTCCTAAGTCAAAATGCACACAAGGTGCAGCTTGTTTGTGGCGAGAGAGACAGGACGAACACTGAGCACCTCAATCACTGCTTTCTCACGGACAGACTCGCCTCTGTCGGGCCCTAGTCATCGCCCCCCGCCCACCCCCTGCCCCCAAGGTCCCTCTGCCTGCCCTGGACCCGGGTCTGCTGCTGCCCCGAGGTTCAGCCGCGAGAACAGACACCTGGTCCTTTCTGTGGGGCCACCGGCGGTACCTGAGCTGTTCTATGTCTTTTTCGTATCCTCTCAAAAGCTCCTCTTTTCTCTCCAGCCGGTTCTTGAGTTGGGTGATCTTATCAAACACCAGATCGAGGTCCCTTTGTCGGAGGTGGTTGACTCTCTCTCTCTCTTTTGCAGAGAGGTATTTCATGGATATGTGACCGGACATTTCCTTGATGTTCATCAGACTCCCGAGCGTTTTGCTCATGTCCATGTACTACGAGGAAAGCGTTTGGCAGATAAGAGGCCTGGCCGAAGGCTGCTGGTGGCTGCTTTGAGGAAGCCAACATCTAATTCTGTGTCGTTCATTTTCTACAATTGCCGAGAACACACCCATGCTTGGAAGCGAGTGCCACTGGGCTTTCAGTAGGACTTTCATTTACTCCACATCCCTTTATGCTATGCCTTTTTGAGAACCAGGAGGAAAAGTGACAACAGACATAAACATTCATTCTAACTACCTAGTTTTTCAAGGAATTGGACTATGCAATGTCTGACCCATGCTGGGAGAGTAGATGGGTCTTGCAGAGCTATTATTACAAGTAAATATGCGTGTGAGGCTGATGTTTAGTTATACTCCCTGGTGGTTAACGATGACTGTGGGGGACCCAGCTTTGGACAGGAGGGGACGGTGCTGTAAGTACATACCAGCTTTTCACTGAGATCTAAAGCCTCAGCTACATCCATTTTCCCTGACTTTTCCATGGCTGGGATGGCTGAGTTGGCAAGGCCATTCTGAGGCTGAAATAAAAAAGAAGTGAAAACTCTCTTGGCACGCCATTGTGAATGTCTGCATCCTGGAGATAAAACACCGTAGTTATCGAAGAATGGCTTGAGAGACTGGATTTCCCTTTCAGATCCTGACGAGCGCGTCTGATTCCTCTGTCAACTGCTTTCTGGCAACTCTGCTCCCACCCTTCAGAACATGACTCTCACTTGCCTTGTTCTCTGGTTACTTACTGTCTTCCCTCCGGACCAGTGGTTCTCAGTCAAGGGTGATTTTGTCCACCCTCCCCTCCATGCCCCAGGACCTTTGTCAATGCCGGGATACATTTTGGTTGTTGCAGCTGGAGGTGGGGAGTGCTACTGGCATCCGGAGGGTGGAGAGCAAGGGTGCTGCTAAACATCCCACAGTACCTCAGATGGCCTCCCGAACAAGGGATTACCTGGCCCAAATTATCAGGACTGCTCAGGTTGAGAAACCCCAGTCTAGAGGACAAACTTCATAAAAACAGAGGTCGTGTTGCTTTTGCTCACTATTCCATTTCTTGTGCCCAGCATGGCACCTGGCACAGTGCGGGCAGAGAAAATAGCTTTCCTCCTTTTATTAAAGAATCTCATTTTTAGGCAACAGAAACTATACCGTCACCAAATTTGGCCAAACCTTCTCCTAGTGCTGGAACCTGCTGGGCGAGCATCCCTTCAGACCCACTGCCGAAACAATGCCCAGTGGTGTTCACAGCTGTACCCTCAGTAACACCCTCTCAGCCAGCTGGCTGCTGAAAGTCCCTACTGACCGTTCGGAAGAGGCACCAGACAGATCAGGGAGTCTGGAAGACCATAAATAACTGTAATAAACCTCCCTAAAAAGCAAACTGGGTTTTAAGTGCTCACCCCGAGCGTCTCTTGGCCCATAGCATTTGCTGGCACTCCACTGTAAGCCTCTGAGATTAAAAAAACCCGACTACAAAAACATAAAGGCTCAGAAAGTGACTGTGATAGATAAGCGTGAGCTATTTGTCTCTCCGTCTATAGCGCTGAGTGTGAAGGAGGGGATTTGAGGATGACAGAGCCTGAAGTACCACTCAGCGTCTCCAGCCCTGGGCGGTGTCCTCTGTACCCTGCTCCGGGTTCCCCTTCTTTTCCTGATGGAGGGTCACCTAGGGCAGGATCTGGTGGATGAGGTTTAATCACACAGTCCCCATGTCCTTCTCTGCAGACTAGCAGGGAGCTAGACACAGTCCTGGATCCATCAGTCATTATGCTGTGACCTTGGGTGAGGTAACTGACTGCCTGAAGTCTTAACTTTTCTTATCTGTAGAATGGGGATCATGACAGTAACTCCAACAGAAGGCTGCTGTGAGGGTTGAATGATAACAGGCCGAATGATAAATGATAGCTTAGCTCAGTGCCTGGCACACGGCAAACACTTAATAGATGCCAGCGAGCCTTCCTCCTGCTCCTTCTCTTCTTTTAATTTGCATTATTGCCAACCTTGGAGGACTGAGCTCTTCCGAGAGGGTTGGGGGCTCTCCTGCTCTGGGGTGGTGGTGGTGGCATAGGGTCAGTGCTAGGGTGAAGGTAAATCTTGGGCAGCAGGTCAGGATATGAGAGCCAGCTGAGTTCCCCGCCCGGAGACTGTCTCTCTACTTCCAACCTCGGAGAATGAGGGCTTATCCAGAAAGCCAGCACATTCCTGAAGGCTCACATCCCTAGCAAATGTCTAGAAAAATGGTGCAGGAGAATGTTGGTACAGATAGGATGACTTTGTTCCGTGGTCTAAAAGCCTCTGCATGGTGTAGATCCAGCTGTGGCAGCAAGCCACGCCCAGCGGATCCCGTGATTGACTGTGACCCGAGCGGTCCATTGTCAGGTGTCAATCAGGCACCCATCAAACATCCATTTAGGGTACAGGGCACCTTCAACGTAACAGTCAAATCACTTCTGAAAATCCTAGCAAATAAAACTATTTCCCTTAAGAGAGGAAGGGTTTCTTGAGTGACACTATCTAAATACTATTAAGCAATCATAACAGCTATCATTTATTAAGTGTTTGCTCTGAGCCAGACGCGGGGATAAGCACTTAAACCAGCCACTTCTAGGTTCTCACCAGTGCGCAGCTGGGCAGAGGAGGCCCAGGAAGGCTAAGAGTCCACCCGAGGTCTCACGGATGGCGGGGCTGGCATTCGGACACAGGGCCCTCTGACTCTAGAACTTGCGTCCTCTTAATCAACCCTCCAGCTGCTCTTTATGTGTTCACGCTTCTCAGTTTGCCGTGCAAAGCAAACTTCAGGCAAACTCATGGCATAATGTTAAAAATTAGCCTGTTGAATATTTTCTGCAGGGTATAACACATCGTGTGAAAAGGAGGGCCCACCAGAGATTGTTCTGGACCGGTGTCAGTGCAATGATTTAACACGCTGGGCACAAACGGAGAGCAACCTCTCTGTTCAGACATGGGGCTGCCGGTTCGCCAAAGCCTCAAGCTGGTGGCGCAGACGCTGGCCTCCCAGGGAGGCCTGGCCCCAAGCCACTGACGTGTGAGGCCGTGCCGGGGCACCCGGCTAGTGTCTGCCCTCACGCCCACCCTCTCCACGTGTCACCGCAGAGAGAAACTTTCTTTGGTTACCGCTCCGATCTGTATTCTTGAGAGAGTTGGCAAATCAGGTTTTGCGTCCAAGAATTTCTGGACATTTTTTTCCATTCTGACCGTCTTTAAGTCTAGATAGGATTCAGTCAGGTGGTCCTTATGATCTATAAAATAAATGAGAGTCAAAAGAAAGGGTCAGGAAGAAGTTATTGCATGTAATAATCACAGCTGCTGGGGTGCCTAGGTGGCTCGGTTGGTTAAGCATCTGACTTCAGCTCGGGTCATGATCTCAGGGTCCCAGGATCGAGCCCAAGTCGGGCTCCCCTCTCAGCAGGGAGTCTGCTTCTCCCTCTCCCTGCTCGCCCCCCCTCCCCAGTTCATGCCCATTCTCTCTCTCTCTCTCAAATAAATAAATAAAATCTTAAAAAGAAATCACAGCTGCAGTTTACTGGACCTTACTGCAGGCCAGTGCTGATCTCCACCACCCGCCCTTGGCAGGTGAGAAATAGGCCTAGACAGGTAAATGGCTTGTCCAAGGTCACACACAGTTAGTAGGAGGCTGGGGCCTCGCAGGAGCCAGTGCCGAGACATGGAGGGTGAACTTTCAGCCACAGGAACCAGGCTGGAACTTGAACCCTGGCTTCTGGGGCCTAGCCCAGCACTGCCCCCACCCCCAGCAACAGGTGCAGTGTCTTGAAAACGTTATCCCTTCTAAACAGAGTATCCTAGGAGGTTCCCAAGGCTGATCCTTGCACTGTTAGTCCATGACAAAGTTCCCACCAGGCCACAGTGAAATAAGAAAAAGGACAATGTAGTGAGTTTTTCATGAAATCCCATTTATTTAAGATCAAGGCTTGCCCTTGACTCTGAGATCATGCCTGCCATCTTTCCTTGTATGACAATGTCCTTTCGGCTATGAAGTGATGAGACAGAAGACGGTGGTCCTGGCCGATGTCAGTGCCCAGAGTGACCTCTAGAGTCTGGGGCTCAGGGCTCTGAGCAGGGAGAGGGAGACCAGCAGGCAGGGAACTTACTTGATGAGCAGGCCTTCTCAAGCTCCTTAATTCGCGCACGCAGTTCAGACAAGGCCTTTTTCTGACGCTGAATGATTTCCTCATGTCGGGACCCTTTGCACTTGGCCCCTAGATCACTGAAGGATTGTTCCTGTGGCCAGAATGGTATAGAGGACAGCTTTAACAGGGGTCAGAATCTCTCTCTTATAGTCCAAGAAACATGTACAACTCATGACTAGCAGAGACCCTGTCATTTGGTACCTTGGAAGCTACTGTAAGGGGCTTCAGTGCAGAAGGAATTTAAATTTTTCATTTCAAATATAAAGTCACATCTAGGAAGATTTCCAACTTTCTTACCTACTTAGCATATCTATAAATAACACCCCCCCTCTATGTTCCCTCCCTGTGTTTTATATTTTCTTCTAATATTCTTCTAAGCTTGGGTTTCCATTTGTTGTCATTTGGGTCTTGTCTCAGAATAATCACATCAAATTCTGCTCTAGGAGGGGGCATTTTTAGATAAGAACACATGGTACTTTCTTCTTGACTGGAAATAGGGATGGCTCCTCAGTATTTGCTAGGGGGAATTTGATAGATTGGGTCGCAGTTGGTCTGGAGAAAGGAAAACCTTCCTCCGAGACTTCTGGAGGTTCTACTGTCCAACAGAACTTTCTGGGATGAAGGAACGGTTTCCACTTCTTGCACCATCCAATATGGCAGCCACCAGGCACAGAGCACAGAGCTAGCGTAGGGCTTATGAAGGGCATAGACAAGGAGAGGTCTTCTCTATCTTTTAAGGGTCATGCCCACCTTTCAGATTCAGAAGAATGCACGGTTCCATCTTTCAGGAAAATTCCCACACACATAAAAATTTGCATACAGGGGCGTCTGGGTGGCTCAGCTGGTTGAGCGTCTGACTTTCGATTTTGGCTCAGGTCATGATCTCAGGGTCCTGGGATCGTGCCCTGCATCGGGATCCGCACTCAGTAGGGAACCCGCATGAGGATTCTCTCTCTTCCTCTCCCTCTGCCCCTCCCCCCTGCTCTCTCTCTCTCAAATAAATAAATCTTTATAAAATTGGCATACAGATTCTGGAGGTTCAGGGCCCCCCTGAAGCCCAGTAATGAACTCTATGCATCACATGGGCTCCGTGAGAGCAAAGTCTTTGTCTCCATTGGAGACTGTGGTATTCCCAGGGCCCAGCATTGTGCCCAAGCTTAGTAGACGGTCCACAATTACGGAGCCTGAATGAAATGAGGTTAGAAACAGGGTGGGAAGGAGCTTGTTCCAGCTTTCTGGCTGGGACCAGGGCTCAGCAGCAAAAAGAAGGGGGCGCACCACTCCTGGATGGACTTAGTAGGACCTCACTTGACCCTGACATGGGCTTCAGCCTGCTTATAGGCTGCATGGCTGGTCCACTCTTCCCAGGTTGATTCTACACTGGCCTTGCTGTCTTTGAGGATGTACGTTTGCCCAGGAATGTCGTGTGTGTGTGTGCACGCACGTGTGCAGGAGTGTGGAGAGGAGGCTAGGGTCTACTGACCTGGGGGTGGGGCAGCCACAGCAGCGAGGCTCAGTGACAGCCTTTATTCTGTCTGAAGAGTATGCCCGAGCCCGATGTGACCCTTACTCATGGCTCTTCTGGGAATTTGTTTATTTAGAGAAGAAGATGGAGATTCTTTCTCATACAACTCTGAAGCCCTCTGACCCACTCTGGCTTAGAAAGCAGGAAGTAGCCTGAGTTTGGAAAGCCATTCCGAGAAAGAACAAATACTTTTTTCCTTTTATCTTGCAGCCTCCCTCCCCCATCCTCTTCAGTTAATCCTGCCTCATAAGGGAAACTAATAATCTCGGCGTCCAGTCAACAATCCGTTCTAGCAAACTTGTGCAGGGTCAGAGGGGGTCTGGTGTGAACAGGAGCCCTGGGCCTCCCCCTCTGCGCCCAGCCCCGGGCCTGGCACCGAGTGTCTGCTTATGGTTGTTGAGCGAGCGAACGAGTATGGGCTGGGTCCTGCGCTGAGGGCTCGGGATTCCGACGGGTCTGAGACAGGAGCGAGACTTGCTCCCCGCCCCGCAGAGCTCAGGGTGCGGGACCGCTGGCACTTCCCCGGGCACCTTCACCTTCTGTGAAACGCTCTGGACAGCGGCGGTGCTGTCCAGATGGCTGGGCCGCGAGCCCTTTCGTTCAAGCTGTGTGCGGCCCTGGCTCACTGCTGTTTGGCAGGGGAATGGCATCTTTGAGAAAGCAGGAAGGCAAGCTGACACATTTGGCCCTCTTTCCAAGTGAAAATCCAAAGCCCGTTACTGAAGTGCCCTGTTCTCCAGTTTCATAAAGCAAAGGGGAAAAGGATGTCCCTGGACTCCAGGAAACCCGAGGCCTCGAGGAATCGCTGCACGTGCAGTCAGCCTTCCACGGGCAATGGGAAGCATGACAGCCCCCGCCCCAGGGCAGAGTGGGAGTGCCACCTTGGGGGGCAGCGTGGTGAAGGCTGTTCTCACTCGGAGACACGCTCCCTGTGTTCTGAGCAGTTGAGGCGTCCAGACATGCAAAGGCTTCTGGGCAGGCACCCCAAGAGGAGTCACGGAGAGACGGGCACACAGCAGAAATGGTAAATGGCTCTTTGGGAAGACAGTCTGGCCCCATCAAGCACAATTTGGGATGCCCTCTGGACCCTGCATTTTCATATCTGGGAATTTGTTCTATGTACACACCTACAGGGACATTAACTATAGCAACGTGTGAAAGCAGACACAGCCTCAGTGTCCATCAGCAGGGGACTCGGGGTGGACAAGTGGGAGGCAGTGGAATTCTATGCACCCAATTAAAAGAACAGAATGGCTCTTTATATACTTACTAGGAAAGAGGGTCTTTATATATATAGTGTTCAGTGGGGAAAAAAACACGTTGCAGAATATACATGGCTTAATACCATTATTTTGCAAAAAGATCTCTTGAATAAACATGCATATATAGGGTGTGTGTGCTTGTGTGCATAAACAAAATTTGTTTCTCTACAACCCCACGAGGTGGTGGCTGTCACGCCTGCTACTTTCCAGACAAGGGAGCCGGCATACAATTACCTCCCTGGGGTCAGCGTTTCTGGGTGCAGGAGTCCCACCCCGGGATGGAACCCGGGCGGCCTGGAGCTGAGGCTGGCCTTCGCACACTGCGGGGTCGCGCCTGTATCAGGGCAGGGCAGTCTCTGTGAGGAAAAGGGCTGATGGCGCACGTGCCAAACTGCCGACAGCCGTGACCTCCAGTGGCCGTGGGAGGAGGGCAGGGACTACCGCTTTTTACTGTGCGCATTTCACATAAGCAAGTCAGATCTTTGGAACTTAGAATGCAAATATTTTCAGAAGCAAAGACGGGCACCACTGGGCTCTTTTTTTTTTTTTTTTAGCACTGTCCCCGAGCGGCCAGGCCTGGGCGGCACTCACCTCTTGACTGCTCAAGAGAATGTCAGTGTGGCCTGGTTCTACCTGCACCGAGATGTCACACATCTGGGCCGTGTTCCTGGGCTTCCGTTCCTTCTCCTTGTACAGCTGGACTCTGTGTTTCTCTTGGGAGGCCCTAGGGCAGAGGAGATGAGTCACTGGACAGCAGGATGGCTGGCAGCCTGAGGTTCCAGGAACCACGACTGACCTTTGGAGCCACTGACAGAACAGAAAAAGGGACTCCATTTTTATAGGTAACTGAAACCTTCGGGTCTTCAAGTCTCCTGCCTGCAGATTTCTGGAGACTTTAGTTTCAGGGGACTTCTAAAATCGTGGCCAGGGCGGCAGACACCTGTCCCCCTTTGTTTCCCATACTAGGTCTGCGGGACACCTGCTGGGGCATTCACTGGGGCATTTACCGAGTATCTGCTGTTTCTAACACTTTGTACGTGTTAACCCTTCTATTTCTCATAACAATCCCATGAGCTGGGGACTCTCCTTGCCTCATTTTACAGGCAAGGAAAGAGACACACAGCAATTTGCCCGTGGTCATGAAGCTTATAAGTGAAGGTGGCTGGCTTTGAATCCAGGCAGCCTGTGTCTTTAACCACTATGTGAATCTGTCTTGGCCAGAAGCCAGGAGGCATATGAAGCTACAGGGTAGTCACAAGATGTGGATTTTACTCAACCTTTCTTGGAGAAAACATTACTCTTATGTCAAAATAAGGACAAGTTGTGGATGAAACTGCAAACTCACATGTATTTTTCAGACTAATCTGTGGAATGACAACGAAATTTTACATTTATTTTAAGCTGACTTCTTTTACCCCAGTTTATACGTTGGTTCCATCAATATTTATAAAGTTCCCTATGTGCCAGGCACTGTGTGAATGCTGGGGAGTCAACAGCAGGCAAGGTCTATATGGGGGTCCTTATGGGGAAGGTGGACAGTCAAACAGGCCATAGCAGCCTGGCTGTGTGAGAAGTGTTAGGTTGTATGGAGTGCAGGGGCTGAGAGACCCTGGGCAGAGTAGGAGCCCTTGGCTATGTTTGGTGAGGGTAAGTGACAGAGGGCTCCTTGGAGGAAGTGGCATTTAAGCTGAGGCCTGTCCTCTGGAATACTGGGCAGGAATGTTTTGCGAGGCAGAGAACTAAGCAAAACCCTGTTTTAAATGATGAGGTTGTGAAATAATGAAACACATGCCTGCCTGCCATCCATCCATCCATCCAACCACCCACCCACCCACCCACCCTTCCATCCATCCATCCATCCATCCATCCATCCATCCATCCATCCATCCTCCCTCCCTCCTTCCCTCCCTTCAACATTTACCGAGTGACCTCCACGTGGGAGGCTCCCTGGGCACTTGGGTGTGTCTGGGCTCCCTATACCATGAGCCCATGGGCTTCTCACACACCTGAGCGCCTCCTTGAGGACCTCCAGCTCCCTGTCCTTCCTTTCCACCAGGCTGGTCAGCTGCACCATCTTTTCCTTGAGCGCTCTCAGCTCACTGCTTTGTTGCTGGACCAGCGCCACGTTCCGCTCCAGTTCCATCTTCTGCTTTTCATTAAGCTCCCCTGGGAGAGACAGGAAAGCTGGTGAGGGGGTCTCCCACCTCAGGGCTCTGCCAGGGCCACGGCCCATCGGCCAGGTCTACAAGAACCATGAGGCGGGTCCACGCTCCAGGAATTCTCACGGCAGGGCTGGGGGTGGGGGGCGTTAGTAACAGCCAGGGGGTCTGCCTGCATCTTAGCAAACCACAGCAAAGCCCTGTCTGACCCCGGCGTTCCAGAAGCTGTCGGGGCCCTGCCTTTGCACCTGTGGCCTCTGGGGGTTCCCTGGTCCACCTTCGGCTGCCTGCTTCTGCATCTGTTTGCCTAAGCGTGTTCCTTCTCCGGCCTCTGGGGTCTGCTCTGCTCCTGGGTCTGCCAGGTACATCAGCCTCCACCCAAGACTGGAATTCATAGCCCGGCTCCCCTCACCCCCGGGGCAGGCGACCCGGGGGCTGGGCTGTACCCTGCTCCCCAGCGTTCGCCCCCTGCAGAATTCAGCTCCTGCTGCCTGCTCTGCCCCTGACTGACAACACAACTTTGCCTTTGTCCCTCTCCTGCCTCTAGTCTACCTCCATTGCTGCTGGTCCCGGGATCGCCTCTCAAACCCCACCACCCGCAGGAGCATTCTGGTCTCAGGGTCAGCCTCTGTGGGCAAAACCCAAACGGAGACACTTGCATTACCTCAGATTTTCATAGCAACCCTCCAGGTGAGTTACTGGTCACACCCCCACTTCAGGGAGGCAGAAACAGGCTCGGAGAGGTAAAGGTGCTTGCCGAAACTCAGGGGACTAAAATAAATAGCAGATCCAGAACCAGGTCCAACATCTGCGGATTCTAGAACTGGACCTGCTAGCCTCTCTACTATACTTTCTCCTACCTCAGTATGGAAACAATCACTCTTTGGAAAATTCAGCCATAAGTGCCCGGGGGGCATTGACAGTACAGCTCAAGGGGGAGCAGATACCACTGAAGGTTTTGGGGGTGCACAGGGTTTGAGATGGGGACAAGACAAGAGGAGTGCCCTTCGCCCTCCCTTGACTTCCCCAAACCGAGTTCGGTCTCCTGACTCCCGCCTGCCTGTGCCTTTTGGGGCTGGGAAGGAGAAAATGTCTGTAAGAAGCCAAAGAGGGGAGGCGGAAATAAAAGGATGGGGTTGGGGCGGGGAGAGAAAAAGAGCAAAGTAGGAGTATTCAGCTAGACTGGTTTGTGCTCTTTGGTCCCTAGTGTAGGAGGTCCCTAATGTCCAGCCAGCTCCAGGAAATAGGTGTGTTGGATGTGATTTTGCACAGGAGGAAGGGGAGGGGAGGAGAGAATACCTTGCTCTAGGTCCCAGAGCTGGGGGGTGCTGGGGTTTGTGCCCTCCCTCCCAGCCTTTGCCTCCAGAGACAAATCCTCTAAGGCAAAAGGGGATTTTTCTCAAAAGGAAAGTTGCATTTCAATGCAGAGGTCTGAAGCCCTCTGAGAAGGCTCCCTGTGGCCCCCTGATCAGGCATCTGTCTTGCTGACCGAGGTACAAATGCTCCAATGCTGTGACCGCCCAGGAAAGCAGGTCAGCAGGATTTTTAATGCTAAGCTTCCCAACTCTTAAGCCTGTTCTTTCCTTTCTCAAAGTGGGTCAGGAAGTCAAGAGACGCAGGCAATCATACAAACCTCTCAAATCTGACATTCGGTTGTGGGCTTCCGTGAGGTTTTTCCTTAACCTCATGATGACCTCCTGCTGAGACAGGATTTCCTTCTGAGCGGTCAGTAGATCCCTTCTGAAACTCACAAAGACAGGCCAAGTCAGCTCACCTCAGTCCCCAGGATGTCCCCATTGCCTGCAAGGGGCCAGGTAGAAATGCAAAGTGATCCTCCTTCAGTGCGGGTCCAAGGGATACCAGTCCCAGCAAGGGGGAGAAGCATGCTCTTTAAAAATTCTCAAAGCAAAAATTCATTTCGATGCTATAT